CACCCCCACCCCCCCTCCTCCCCTTCCACCACCCCTAGTTCGTTTCCCAGTTAGGAGTCTTTCATGTTCTGTCTCCTTTCTGATATTTCCCACTCGTTTTTTCTCCTTTCTAGGGGAAAAGGATTTAATATTAAACTATTAAGCATGATATTAGCTGTTACACTTTCATAGATGTCCTTATCAAATGGTAAAAATTGTCTATTTTTGGCTTGCTAGGATTTTTTTTCATATTCAGTCTTGAATTTTGTCAAATTATTTTGTTATCTGTCATTTCCCCTTTATGTTAGTTTGCTGAATTATATTGCTGGGGTAAACCCAACTTGATCATGCTATATCATTTTTTTTCATCCTTAAGTTCTGTTTCCTACTATTTTAAATATTTTTGCATCTGTATTCATGAGGGATATTAGTCTTTTTCTTTTCTCATAATATATTTGTCAAGTTTTGTTACTGGGGTTATGCTGCCTTCATAACACAAGTTGAAAACTCCTCTTTATTTCTTGAATGAGTTTGTGTAGAATTGTGTCATTTTTAACCTAAATATTTAGTAAAATTCACCAGTGAATTAATCAGGTCTTCAAAGTTTTCTTATTGGAAAGATATGTAATTACAAATTCAATACTTTAGGGATCCCTGGGTGGCGCAGCGGTTTGGCGCCTGCCTTTGGCCCAGGGCGCGATCCTGGAGACCCGGGATCGAATCCCACGTCAGGCTCCCAGTGCATGGAGCCTGCTTCTCCCTGCCTGTGTCTCTGCCTCTCTCTCTCTCTCTCTGTGTGACTATCATAAATAAATAAAAAAAAATAAAAAAAACTTTAAAAAAAACAAATTCAATACTTTAATAAATATAGAAATATTTTTATATTTTCTTTTTCTTCTTGCATAATTTTTGACAAACTATGTGTTAAAAGGCCATTTTCCCATTTCATCTGAGTGGTTGAATTTCTTGGTAAACATGCTCTTATTATCTTTAACGTCCAACAAGCTATGTAGCGATGTCTTCCTTTTCATTCTTGATATTAGTAATTTGAATTTTCTCTTTTTCATTTGACTGGATTTTTTTGTTTGTTTCCTAGGCTGTCATAACACATTACCATAAACAGAGTGGCTTGAAACTATAGAGATGTATTCTCTAACATTTCTGGAGGACAGAAGTGGAAAATCAAGGCTCCTTTTAAAGGCTGTAGGAGAGAATTATTCCTTATTTCTCACTAGTTTCTAGTTGCAGGCAATCTTTGGCTTGAGGATGCATTAATCCAATCTCTGCCTTTGTCTTCACTTGGCTTTGTTTCTGTATCTATGGTCTTCTTATAAGGACACCACATCACTGGATTTAACACAATTCTCATATGATCTCATAATTAACTATATCTCCAAATACCCTATTTTCAGATAAGGTCACATTCTAAATTTCTAGATGGACATGACTTATGGGAAATACTATCCAAGCCAGTATATTAATCTTGCTAGGTGTTTATCAATTTTAATCATTTTCAAAATCTCACTTGTGATTTTGTGGATTTTCTGTGTTAATTTCCACTGATTGTGGATAAGTTCTCAGTCAATATCAAGTCTTCAAACATTTCTTCTGTACCATTCTTTTTATTTTCATCTTCAGAAACTCAATTATGAGATGGAAGGCCACTTCAAAACTCAAATACTCTGTCTTCCAAGTTTATCCAACCATTTCTTCTATCTGTAGTCCTATCATGTCAAATTCTAGAACTTTGTTTCCCATAGTTTACATGTCTCTGCTGATATTCCTCAACTTATCATGCATGTTTTCCACCATTTTTACCACTTCCCTCAGCGTTTATATCATAGTTCATATACCTCTGATAACTGCAACATCTGGGCAATCTCTGAGTTTGCTTCTATTGACCATTTGCTCTCTGGATCAGATTTCTTACTCCATTGTAGGTCTTATAATTTCTTGCTGTATCCTAGAGATTTTCTATAATAAAACAATGAATATAAAAATAAATAATAGTTACCTTCACAAAAGGGCATGCCTGTTCCTTTGTCAGGATCTTACAGCGGGAAGCTGAATTAATGTAATCTGTAGTTGAGGTGGAGATGAGTTTTGCCACTGATTTAGTTTAACTTTACCATTTGCTTCAGATATTTTAAATGAAAAGTTTCCTTTTAGCAGGGATTGGAATCTGAGTATTGGTGAGATTCTAGTGGAATCTTTGTGCTCTTCAGCTAAACTGCCAGGTTGCCAAACATGGGGACTTACCCTCTGAACTGCATTCCCATAGCATATTTTAGAATTTCTGAATTATTCAGGCTTCCTGAATAGGTGAACTCTCTCTCAAATTACCATGCCTTTTGGAGGATACAGTTGCTTACACTCACAATGCCTCAGAAAGATTTTCTTTGTTTTAGTTCTGTTCTATATTCTTATCTTCCTAGTAGATGAGTGGTTTACTAAAATTAGCAATCTGGCTGATTGAAAAGAAGCAAGACATGCATGGATTTACAAAGATACTAATGAACCAATGTTTGCTGAACTTCATTTCACAGTGAGTCTATATAGGACATTAAAGAGGAAATAAGAAAAATTCTCTTTCACAAATCCACTGAACACTTACAATATATGACACTATTCTGGCAACATACAATATAATCTTAGTAACTGGGATGAATAAAATTGGAGTTCCTAAATTATATATCTCGTTTGATTTTCTAAAATCTAAAATTAGAAGTGAACAGTTCAGGTTCATTTTCCCATGTGATTCTATCATCTCCTTAAATCTTGTCATCAATATCCATTTAATTTAAGGAGAAAAATTGGGTAAGAGCATTCCCATTTTTCAGAATTTTGATATGAAAATGACAAATGTCCATTTCATTTATATTTCACTGGCTAAAATTCAGTCTCATGCTCATATTTAATTGAAAGGTAGGCTGGGAAATGTAGTCTTGCTGTTTATCCAGGAGAAAAATAGATACGCTCAGTTCACAGAATCTGCCAATTTTGTCAGTTTAAGACCTTCTATTCTTTTTTTTTAATTATTTATTCATGATAGTCATACAGAGAGAGAGAGAGAGGCAGAGACAAGGCAGAGACATAGGCAGAGGGAGAAGCAGGCTCCATGCACCGGGAGCCCGATGTGGGATTCGATCCCGGGTCTCCAGGATCGCGCCCTGGGCCAAAGGCAGGCGCCAAACCGCTGCGCCACCCAGGGATCCCAAGACCTTCTATTCTTAAAGCTAAATATTCAATACAAAATTGTTGATTGAATTGAAAAGGAATGCCTTCTCTGTTTATCCAAGCTACTGTACAGACAGTGGAAGCAAGGCATATTTTGAGGGAGGGTGTGGTTATCTTCCATTACTTCAGCCATAAGTGAGGGATAAACACATATTCAAAAATCTCTTTACAATCTCCTTCCGAATTTATTAATATTTTCATCTTCTGTTATGCCTAAGGGTAAAGGTTAAATGATGAGATTAAAATACCATCAAAGTAACATTTTGTCTTAAAATAATTTCTTTAATGTGTTAGTGTATATGTTTTAGTGTATATCTAAGCCTAATATTCTAGGACAGACCTGTAAATCCAATTCTTCCCTGTGCCATCCTCCCTACATGTAATTTATAAACTTTGATTCTATCAATCCTTCTCTCACCACACCATGGTCCTTCACAACTTGAATTTCAGCTTTCCTGATGTAAAATAGCCAGGACTGAATGCTTTTTCTCAGGTGTGGTTGCACCATGATTTTCAGAGGCATGATAGAAATTTTTCATGGTTTGTATCCAAATGTTTTTTCTAGTGGTGCCAGATTTCAATGAATCAATGTTTACTAAAATATCTCCCATGTTTGCTGCTGAATCTTATACGTAAACAGTATTTTATTCCATTTTGTCTTATTAGCTCAGAAGTCTTCAGAAATATTATTTACACAGTCCTGTATCTAGCGACTTATTCCTAATTGAGATCTTGGATTCTACTATATATATATCCATTTTTCTTTAAAAGTGCTCCTTTTTGTACTTCAAACTTATTCTCACCACCTTTTATTTTGGCTATGGAACTGTTTCTTCTAAAATGATTAACCTTGTTAATCTTCTTCAATGACTCTTTTGAGAACCAGTCCCTGAGCACCTCCTGGATAAGCATTTTCTTCTTTTGAATTTTATCTGAATCTGTAAACCATTCTTTATCTGTATAGACAGGGATCCAAGCAGAAGCTATCTGATCATTTGCATGACAGAGAGAGAAAAAACCATTTTGGTGGATACTATATCACGATTATTTTGTACTTTTGGGGGGAGGGGGTTTTTTGGACTGATTTTTGTCCTTTAGAATTTGGGTTCTACAAAGATCACACCCTGTTTAAAAGACTTAATATCTGCCCATTCAAGACTACTTATAAATGATTGTAATTTGCTATAAATGAAAGTCTAAGACACTCAACTGCAGTTTGTGGTCATTTATATCAATCATATCTGCTGTTATTCACAAACTACTCAGCCTTATTTATGAGCACTAATCCTTGTTTTATGTAAAATGCGATTGAATAAATCTACCTATCATTACTTCTCTCATGTGATAGGGATTAAAATCTCATTTCAGAGACTAAGCCTCAGGAAACTATTGCAAGCATGTGTGACAGACCACTTGGTACAGTATTGGGCTTTGGGGCAGGAATCAAATCCATACCTGCAGAATCACTTGGGCAAATCTTAAGTACTGAAAGTACTTCCATGAATTCAGGTCTGCTCCCTTTAATAAGTGGATTCCAGAAGGAAATATTGTATAGACTTTAAGAAATGTATTGAAATGGTAAAACTATTACTTCAAAACCTAATTCTAAAGGAGCTGCTGAGCAACGCTGATGATCTGGGATCCTGGAAAATGTCTTATAAAAGTGCTTCCCAAAAAACATAGTTTACAATGCTTTAGAAAATATGAAAGGCTAGATTTTGTAGACTGCTTGGTACATTTCTTGCTGCTTCTCTTTAAATAAAGTAGGAAAAAAATCTACAATGTTGTAGTCCTTTGGCTTTATTTTCTGGGATTAAAAAAAAAGTATAGGCATTAATGTTTTTACATGGTCTTCTTGAAGATAGCCTTGAAAGTAACTTATCAAATGGCTTTGTTTATATTTCTTGATTATCAGTATTCATCAGTATCACTGTCAACCTTGATTAACTGGTTAAAAATGTCGGAGCAGAATAAGGAACTTTCATGAACATTTCCCCAATCCCTGAGAATCATAATCATCACAGATATATTTCATTCCTTCATCATAAATCTCTAGAAAGTAGCCGTGTTCGTTCATTGTTAACCGGGCAAGGAGCAGTGTCATAGAGGGTTAATCCATGTAAATTGGCTTCCACACGTAAAGAAATTTTCTGTAACAGAAAAGAAAATTATATATAGATGTTTATTCCTTAAAGACATCTTCAATGTCCTCGACATCACATCTTAAATATGTTCTGAAGAATATTTTTGGGATTGGAAATGTAAATCAATTCTTTAAATTTTTTTTTTAATTTTTATTTATTTATGATAGTCACACAGAGAGAGAGAGGCAGAGACACAGGCAGAGGGAGAAGCAGGCTCCATGCACCGGGAGCCCGATGTGGGATTCGATCCCGGGTCTCCAGGATCGCGCCCTGGGCCAAAGGCAGGCGCCAAACCGCTGCGCCACCCAGGGATCCCCGGAAATGTAAATCAATTCTAATAAGTAACAAAATTGAGATAGATGTCGTACTGCCAAAGGTGTCATCTATAGTACCAACAGTTAGGAAAACCAAGCTTTTCTACTCAGAAGTTCTTCGTTTTTCTTTGTTTTTTAAAAGGAATCAGTGAAACTAAATGTTGAGGTTGGCCTAAGTAAACACAGGCAGAGTTGATGAAAATTTGTAAAAAAAGTTTTGCAAATTTACTTGCTTTACAATCCTCTTTTCAAGGCTGAACACCTTACTAATGATACACTACTTCCCCAAACCAGAAACGATTTACCTGAGAATCTCCTCTTCTGGCATTGCTGCCTGTGAAATTAATTTCCAAAAAAGGATGGAGACTTGCCTATAGCAATTAATTTCTTTTATCCCACCTGAGGGAAGTTTGACTGTATATCTAATGCTGTGTTTTCTTACCTGAAAATCACGGATGTAAGTCAGGAAAAAACCAAAGAAGGAGAATGACATAGACCATTCTGCTGCAGTGGTGATCATGTGAAGCACGTAACCCTTGAGGGACAATGGAAAAAAAGAAGAGTTCTGTGAAATTTCATTTGAATGAAGTAGAATTTCTGTCAAATAAAAAACCCATAAAACCTATACAACAATCTGCCTTCTGAAAATCAAAGGCCATAGGTAAACATTAAGGACATATTAATCTACTATGGCCTTTTGTCAAAAACGTACCCATGTGAATTTATTAATTGTAATAAACATGCCATACTAATTAAAGATGTTAATTAAAGGGGTAGGTACAGAATATATTGATAACATAGAACCCTCTGTACTATTTTCACATTTTTTCTATAAATATGAAACTGTTTAAAATAAGGTTTAAAAAGTTTATTTTATTTATATTTAACATTTAATTTCATAACAACTTTCTAAAAAACAAAACAACCTTTAATTTATTAAATATATCTCAAGAATTAAAGATAGACATTAGGAAAGTCCTTCTAAATGATCTAGCTATTGTAACTTCAAATAGAGCAAATAAAATTTCTATCTGAAGAACCAAGAACAGGAGAACTTCTACTCTATAATTGGAAAGTTACTGCCTTTCCCACAGCCATAAGATTCATTAAATGACACTAAAAATGTTTAAGTAAAAAATGTTCATGATAAACTTAGTTTTAGAGCATTAAATAATACATGGATTATGACTGAGAGAATCTAGTAAATTATTTCATTCTTTCATTCTCACAAACATGCCCTATCCAAGGCTAATTCTTTTAAAATAATTCATAATGAAATGCCACTGAGAGGTTTGTGAAAACAGATGAACTTATTTTATCACCTATTTAGTATATGCTTCTCCTCCTTTTCCCCTCAGGATCAAAGAAGTTATCTCTATTCAGATATCCACTATATCGGTGTCCAAATGCAGAGTCCATAATAATAAACTTCTGGATAATAATTCAGAAAATAAGTATTCTAATAATAAAAGATCTCAGTTGGGTATGTTATACATGACATCCATATTTAGGGGAGCCAATTTCTGAGAAAACTCTTTGCCATCACAATTTTCTTCGTGTCTTGAAAATGTTCACTGTTCAAACGTGACAGAAGAATACAGGTGGTTCAACATAAACTCAATCATACATAGAAAATAATCCTAATTTAACAAATTGATTATTCTACTGAAAAAGTTTTTTGTGATGACATGAAAAATACATCAAAATCAACCAAAATAGCCATCTTTTTTTTTTTTTAATTTATGATAGTCACACACAGAGAGAGAGAGAGAGAGAGAGGCAGAGACACGGGCAGAGGGAGAAGCAGGCTCCATGCACCAGGAGCCCGACATGGGATTCGATCCCGGGTCTCCAGGATCGCGCCCTGGGCCAAAGGCAGGCGCTAAACCGCTGCGCCACCCAGGGATCCCCCAAAATAGCCATCTTAAATATAAAACTAAGTTTTATAGATTCCAAGTTCTTACTTTGTCCTCAGGATTCCAATGGAGTTTCTGTACTATATCTGTGCCAAAATTCCCACTGTACAAAAGTGATGAGCAAGTCAGCACTATAAAAAAAGTAAGTCAAGGAGAATCTCAGAGAAGACCTGTAAGTTTAAATTAGATTTAAAATAAAAATAACTTTAAAGGTCCACAAAGATTACTAATACGTTTGTTTCCAAGGTCCAAACCCATTTCCTTAAAGGTTGGATATTATACAGCTGTAGTGAAAATTGAAAATGAACCTGGAGGATTACTATGAAATGGTTTGCACAGTCATTCCCACTGTACTGTCAATTGGCAGTACTACCCTAAAATTCTTCTACATAATTGTTCTCAGGGAGGGCATTAACCCATCCTTCATATCTCTGAAATGAGTACGATCAGGCTAAATGTTATCTTTGTTCCTAGCTCAATTACCGAGGTCCTATGTAGAATGTGAATTTCAGATTTCAAGTCCTCTAATTTAGGGTCACTAACCGAAGAATCTCACCCATAAGATGTCAACAGCGTTCACAGTCAACTCCCTTCCAAGTGTAGCCACATTTTACAGCAAAGGATACTGCTTAATGCACTTACTCCACACCAGATAACCACCAGTAGTCTGATCCAGAAGACTTGTTTGCCATGTATTTTGGGCTGCATTTGGTAGGAAAGGATGGTCTGAACGAACATATATAACGAGCCCATACCAAAGGTGAGCACAGCTCCACATACATGTACAATGAAAAAGGCTGTTTTCTGAGAGGTAAAAAGAAGAAATAAGTAAATAACAGAAACTCAAAACACATTGCCAACACAATATTTAAAAGCACAAGCCAGTGATTTCAAGAGGACAATCACTGAATGGAAAAGCACTATGCATCCTACAGATTATTTCCTGAAGCAATTCTTAGAGTACTCCATATAAACCAGATTAACAAATTGTTCATATGTCACTACTGAAAATATGACAGTAATTATTCATTTACACATTGAATAATCTGTTTATTTCAGTGCCTCTTCTGTGTCAAGCACTGTTCTAAGTACTCAGATGTATCAGTGAACAAAACAGACAAAAATCTGGCCCTCAGAGTTTACATTCAAATGAAGAAGCACAAACAATAACTAACAAACTTTAGAAATAAATAGAGTCCATCATATGTTAGATGGTAATAAGGTCTATAGAAAAAGAAAAGCACACGGCAAAGGAGGATCAGGATGGTTAGGAAGCTGGAGGGAACGAGTTTCAACTTAAATCTAATTTAATGTAAATATAATTAAAGGCTCAAAAAATTAAAACATTCATTCCCTCTTGGCTCTCATTGATTGGTTTTGATAAATTATACAGGGGATTACCATAAATTCTCACTTTTTTCTTCTTTACCTCTTATCAATATCCATTTACATTTTATTATTTTTTTTTACATTTTATTTTTTACCACATATACCCTCTGCTTAAAAGTGACAACAGTAGCTCTCCAAAAATTCTACAAATATTTTCAGTTGAACCACTCTAGTTTTCGAAGCTGATGCAGCCTGTATCTCATTTGGTTGAGAATTCACTGTATAGCACCTGGCACAGAGTGTATGATAGGGTAACGAGGGGAGAGGTTAGGGCTTGGGTCCCTTCTTTTACAATTGGCTGTGCTAATTCACAAACACAGAGCCCAGATTTTTTAATTGAAGCTTTATAAGAAGTTTTTGGTGTAAAGAAGCAAAAGATAACAATGTTTTTGCCAAAGCCATTGGTTTTCTTTTGGAAAGAAAGGGATGCTTTGATTCAGTTTGGGGTGTTATAACTGGCAATAAGTTATGACTGCTGGGAAGGGAAAAAAATGCACACACTTTGGGTAACAAAGAAAGAAAATTCAGCACCTGTGAAACATAAAATGAAATTATCTATCTTCTTATGGGAATTTATCTACATATATGGATGGATAAAGGCTGGAAAATATAGGCAAAAATAAAATTAACTATTTTAGGGCTACAAGCAGGAATATGGGTGAATTTTTCCCCTTAAAAATATTCTCAAATATACTGATGAAGCTAAATACAGAGTAGCCTGATCGATGCCCACCTGTGATCAGTACACAGTCCCAACAAAATCCCGTGAATTAAAAAGTAAAAATAAAGAACGGAGAGCACTTACTTCTATATTTTTATAATTAAAATAAATGCATTTAAAACTGGTCTTAACTGGCAGTACTACTGCTTACATATTCAATTTTATCATTTTAGAGACCAGGAAAACAGCAAAAGATCTTGAAATAGGCCAGAGAGTATTCTTTCAGTGGAATGTTAGAGCCTCTGGGACTGGTTCTATACAAATGGGAGTTTGATTTGCCTTTCATCGAGCTATTTTTCACAGAAAATTTCTGTAATGATAGAAGTTATGTGCAGAGACAGAAGTTAACATATTGAAAACTTGGGCAGCCCAAGTGGCTCAGCGGTTTAGCGCCGCCTTAAGCCCAGGGTGTGATCCTGGAGACCCAGGATTGAGTGCCACGCTGGGCTGCCTGCATGGAGCCTGCTTCTCCCTCTGCCTGTGTTTCTGTCTGTCTCTCTCTCTCTCTGTTTGTGTCTCTTGAATAAATAAAAGTAAAAAGATAAAATAAAAACATTATTAAAAAAATATCGAAAACTGATAGTACTGTGAATAATCCATGTCTATATAAATACAAATTGCATCATTTTAAATGTTATTATCACTCTGTGAATAATGACCAGTTTTGCATCATAAATTTATTTTAGCATTCCTTATCTGACTACAAATGTGTGGTACCTTGACTTCTCTTTTGGGCTGATTTGTAATACCTACCATTTCCCTCATTAATTAAGAAGTTAAATACAATCTTTGACACATGTACAAAAGTCATTATTTATCCTCTTTAAAAATATCTCCTTTAACAAAACAAAGACAACCTGATTCTTTGACAAACACAAGAAAAATCATAGAGATATGTGTGGTCAGGAGCAAATGTCTGATAAAGAACTTATAAATTATATATTGAGTGGTCTGTAATCTTTACCTAAAAGCAGTAGATGAAACTTCAGGAACTAAATTTCTGCTTACTTATCCTCTATCCAAAGTCTTCTTGAAGATAAATTTTATAGGAAGAAAGAATGGCTTGTGACAAGAGAGGCACATATTATAGTTATGTTGCCATGAGCCATGCAATAACAAGGATTACTGGTAGCCATCAGAAACTAGAAAAGAGGCGTGGAATAGGTTTTTCCCTGTGTCCCCAAAAGGGACACATCCCTACTAACATCTTGGTTTCAGATTTCTGGCCTTCTGAACGTTGAGAGAACAAATTTCCATTATTATAAGACACTCAATTTATGGCATTTTGTTATGGTAACCCTAAAAATTAATGCAGATTTCTGCTTATTTAACCCTTCCAAGTTTCCTCCAGGATAAATTTTCTAGGAAGGGAAAAATTCCTCTAAGTAGGCACCGAGGACACTTACCATGTGTTTGTTTTGCTGAATGCTATTATATACGGTTGTTTTCAAAGAAATTAAATTTGTATTTTTTAAGTCAGAGTTTTTCTAACCTCATTAGGTCTCTTTGGCTTCTTTAATAAGTTACTAAGCAATGAGAACATGTTTGTTTGAAGTAGTATGTTAGGTGCTGAATATAAAATGGTGAACAAAACCACTGTACTTATAACTTATGGAGAAATAGATCAACTAAGAACTTTAAAAACCATAGATATAAAATTAGTAAGTGCTATGAAGAATTTGTTTCCAGAGGCTTAGAGAACACAAAGAGAACTCAAATTATATAGGAACAAGTCTATTCACAGAGAAGACCTCCCTGAGAAAGTAGTTTGTGTAGAGATCTTGAAGACATCTAGATATATTTAGGTTTGGGGTTGTGAAATGTCCAACAAAAGAAACATGTGAAATGGAGTGATATAAACTTGTCTTATTTAAGGAACAAAGAAACTCCGGTGCTATATACGGGGAGGACATTAAGTGAGGGAATGATGGGGACACCTGGGTGGCTCAGGGGTTGAGTGTCTGCCTTTGGCTCAGGGGTCTGGGATTGAGTCCCACATTGGGATCCTTCCGGGGAGCCTGCTTCTCCCTCTGCCTATGTCTCTGCTTCTCTGTCTCTCATGAATAAAGAAATAATCTTTCAAAAAAAAAGAGGAGGAATGATGCAGAACAAGGCTGGAAAAGTAGATCATGTGGCTAGATCATGCAAGACCTTTGAATTAATTAAGCAGCTTGGTAGTTTATCAAATTCCTTTTTCTCTCTTATTACATCTTTTTTTTAAATTTTTATTTATTTATGATAGTCACAGAGAGAGAGAGAGAGAGAGAGAGAGAGGCAGAGACATAGGCAGAGGGAGAAGCAGGCTCCGTGCACCCGGAGCCCAATGTGGGATTCGATCCCGGGTCTCCAGGATCGCGCCCTGGGCCAAAGGCAGGCGCCAAACCGCTGTGCCACCCAGGGATCCCTCTTATTACATCTTTTCATGGAACTTTGGAGCTATAGAGCTTTAAGCAGGGGTACAGGGAAACAGAGTGAGATGTATATATAATTCCAAAAGAGTATACTGGCTGCAGTATTAAATGAAAGGGATGTAAGAGTGAACACAAAGGAAGTATTTAGGAGGCTATCGCAGTAGCCCAGGTGAGAGATAATGAAGTCTGAACTGGTTGAGAAGGAGACGGTAGGGAGAGAAGCAGAGATGGAAATGTAGAGAAGCAGATATCTTCAAGAAATGTTTAAGAGGTAAAATCAACAAGTCGCTACTTTAAAACACAGTGCTAGGGGATCCCTGGGTGGCGCAGCGGTTTGGCGCCTGCCTTTGGCCCAAGGTGCGATCCTGGCGACCCAGGATCGAATCCCACGTCGGGCTCCCGATACATGGAGCCTGCTTCTCCCTCTGCCTGTGTCTCTGCCTCTCTCTCTCTCTCTCTGTGTGTGACTATCATAAATAAATAAAAATAAATAAAAATTAAAAAATTAAAACACAGTGCTAGACTCTCTTCCAAGTCAAACTCTAGAACTAGAGTTAATTTCTGCAAGAGATAAGTGGGAAGAGGAGGGAACAATGCACTCACCACTTAAAACAGGCAGTAAAAGTTTACATGAGAAAGGAAGGAAGGACATGAGGTGCTGTTACAGAGTCTGCTTATAAACAGTGCCCAGCAATCAAGCCATCAGTGAAGGATGTAGAGGAAATTCAAAAGGTCCAAAGTTGCATGAAAAGATATGATCAAGAGAGTAAAAGAAATTTGATTCAAAATTACAAAGCCCAGGACCCCTGTGGTGAAGGTAAATTAGAATGAAAGCTGAAAGGAAAACAGTAAAAAAAAAAAAAAAAAAAAAGTATATAAACTGTTTTTGTAGGTGAATGCAAAAAAGGTAGAAAGAAGGGTGCATGAGTAGCCCAGGAACTGCCATTGGAATTCACTGGACTGTATAAACAAATACCAGTTAGTAATAGGGGTAGCATCTTAAGTATGGAGGTCACTTTGGGATTCATTTTTAACATACAGTGATGAGAGATACTGTTAAATTGATAAAGGGACAACTAGAACAAAGAATCACCAGCCATATACTAAAAATTCCCCAAAACATATTTTTAACACTAAGCTTTAGAAATTGATGAGTGAAGGCAGGACACTATTTGGGTCAAGGACAGCTAACCACCAAAAATTTTGTGTCCCTTCTATAGTACACGGTTACCCCCAAGAACTGATGCTCAGTAAGACTTCACTTCCCAGCCCCTCTTGTGTCTAGCAAATAAATGTTAATAGAATGAAGTGAGTCACTGCCACGTCAAGGTTGTTAAGGAGGTGTGATTTCTGCATGTTCTCTTTAACTGTTTCAACTGGCTAGATGCAGAAGATAATAAGGACTTAAGGAATGGGAGAGCTCAAAGATGGACAGTCTCTGAGCCTTAAATCATTGTGGAAGAAAAGCCATCAGCCAAAAATACGTGCAGTGGATGCATGAATATGCCTCTATATGTGTATCTGCAGGAGTGTGTATAAATAATTATTAGATGTCTAAATAGGCTATCAAATGTCTAAACTGAAACTTTGAAGACTGCAAAGATATTAATCAAAAAACACCCATATGCCCAGGATACAACTGTTATTACCAAAGACTCATCTGAAAGAATGTCAATAGAAAGGTATGTGAAGAGTTTGCAAATATTTGTGAAGGTTGACCTGCTACTTTAAGAATTCCCTAAGAAAAACCTGGAAAAGCTCCATATCCTCTCTCTACTTCTGCATATGAGGGGCTCAGCACCTAGAGATAAAGGTGATCAATGGGAATATCTAAACAAGAATGTAAAATAGGTAAATGAGTGTAACTTATTACGTATAATTTTTTCCCAAATATCTTTATTTTTAAGTAATTGCTACACCTAATACGGTGCTCGAACTCACACCCTGGAGATCAAGAGTCACATGCTCTACCAAACGAGCCAGCCAGGCGACCCCTAGCCACATATTTTTTTAAAGTTTAAATTTATAATTGTGTCACTTATAATTTATACCAATTCTCTCTGGTCTTGGAGTAATCTCCAAATAAGTAGTAATGAAGAGTCTAATAAATAGAGGCCTGTGAATCCTTAAAAGGTCGGAATAATTTATAGGTGTTCAGGAGCTTACCGAAAATGCAGTTTTCTCATTGCATGTGTAATGATCTCAAAGATGGCCAAATCATTTAAAGGCAGGGGACTCTACTTTGCTAAGGCAAAAAAAAACAGTGACAGTGTGTAACTGAATGTTTCAGGTTTCCTTTTTAACATGTATGAATTTATGAACCTCAGGAAAATGCCTGTGCTGGTTTAAAACACAAACCTGGAAATTTGCCACAACAGAAAGTCCAAAACAACTCAGTAATCCGAGTACAAGGCCAGCCTTGTTTAATTTGATGATATGAGTCTCTTCAGGACTCAGAGCTTGAACTTGCTTGTAACGAACATAAATGGTAGCAATGCCTGGGAAGAGATAACCCAAAAGACAACAAAGTAATAAGTAACCAGGGAATAAAGTTGCCAATAAAGAGTTAACAAAGGTCACATAATATGAATCTTCCTTTCAAAGTTGGTTTGAAAGAAAAGAAAAAAAACAACAGGAACAGCTGTTGACCTTAAGAACATTTAAGGTTGCATTTTGGAACTAGTAATATCTCTGGCCTCTTGTGGGCCTCACATTTATAAATATTTAGGATAAAATTTAAGAGGTAAGTTTGATGCTTTTGGAAAATCTCTAATGATAAACTTTATAGAAAACAAAATATTCTATATGATTAGCATTAAAGTCTAAAGTAATTGGTGTTAAATATGGGGAAAAAAAACAGACCAAAAAAAAACCCAAAACACCAAAATATGATTTATTAGCCCCACTCTCATTTAGTTTTATTTCAAATTATTACAACAGGGCTGAATCAGATATACCAGTCAATTACACAGAAAACAAAAAAACAAAAACACTCACTTTACGATCCTTGTTAGTCAAGGAAGGGTCAAATCAAATTTTCCATTGCAAAAACATTGCCAAAGAACTTAAAAGTATAGAAAATAAAACAGATATGCTTTTGTAGACATATTTTTGAAAACTTTAGTCATAAGATAAACTTCTATGCACTGAATCATTCATTTCCTTAACTTCAATTTTTGACCCAAGCAGATAATAAATATATGAAGAATGCAAATATTTAAAACCATCATGATTGCTGGAAAAATATTTTAGTAAATTATTAATAAAAGTTTGATTCAAAAAATAAATAATGAACAAGAATGCAAAATACAGTAGAATTTCATTCCTTTGGTGACAGAACATTTTTCAAAACCCAAAGCATGGGGCAGCCCCGGTGGCGCAGTGGTTTAGTGCCGCCTGCAGCCCGGGGTGTGATCTTGGGGGCCCGGGATCGAGTTCCGCGTCGGACTCTCTGCATGGAGCCTGCTTCTCTCTCTGCCTGTGTCTGCCTCTCTTTCGCTCTCTCTGAATAAATAAATAAATAAATCTTAAAACAAAACAAAACAAAAACAAACAAACAAACAAAAAAAAAAACCATGGGGGATCCCTGGGTGGCTCAGCAGTTTAGCACCTGCCTTCGGCCCAGGGTGTGATCCTGGAGTCTCGAGATCAAGTCCCATGTCAGGCTCCCTGCATACCTATGTCTCTGTGTCTCTCTCTCTCTGTCTCTCTTGAATAAATAAATAAAATCTTTAAAATTAAAACAAAACAAAACAAAACATGGTTCCAATGCTACTCTGAAAACTTCTAAATTATTTACCCTAAATGAATTTAGTTGGTGTTAGTTGTGGTCAGTTGGTTTATAGCTTTTTGTCCTCTACTGGTCATGTGAAATCCACTTCACGTCTCAAGAAATATTTGGTTATACCTTACAACTTCTATTTGGAAAATAGCCTCATAGATATTTTTTAAAGATTTATTTCTATAATTTAGCATTTCTAGCAATTGCTTTTCTTTTAAAAGAAACATCTGTGATTAAAATTTAGTGATAACATTCCCTCAGGTATAACCAGAAAGTAAAACAAGTCACGCAAGTGTTTAAAGAAGGAAAGGCCAATTTCACTATTAATTTTGATTTTTAAAACAATTTTCATTACTTACACAGAACTGCAGCAATATTTAACATTGCCCCAAACAAGCATTTTTCTGGAGCTACTGTACCAGTATCACTGAAAGAAAAAAAAAAGAAGGTGTGTGGATTTCTCATACTAGACATACATGTGTATTTTTACTAAGGAATAAGAAATAACAGGGGTTATTTCAAATCCTATATCTTTTCATGTATTTGTAAGTTTAATTCATATAATTTTATGAGAACATGACAGTTTGAGCTCACAGTGCTTACATTGTTTACTTTTTTCTCCTATCAGTTGAAATTATTTCTTTTTCACATAACAGAAATCAATAGAAATTGATTTTAAAAAATAAAATATTTTTTTGTTTTTTACCCTATGCTGGGAACGTTAGGGCTGTGTTACTGATTTCCATCAGTTGGACAGGTATGTTCAACTGTCTCACCTGAATGTTCCCTAAACCAGGTCCTTTCACAACTCAGCTTTTTTCATCTGTTGTTAACCCTGTCTATAATTCCATTAATACCTACTCATTTCCTGTTAATTAAAAAAAAAAAAATACGGGATCCCTGGGTGGCACAGCGGTTTGGTGCCTGCCTTTGGCCCAGGGCGCAATCCTGGAGACCCGGGATCAAATTCCACGTCGGGCTCCCAGTGCATGGAGCCTGCTTCTCCCTCTGCCTGTGTCTCTGCCTCTCTCTCTCTCTCTCTCTCTGTATGACTATAATAAATAAATAAAAATTAAAAAAAAAAAAGAAAATTTATCAAGTACCTACTGTGTGCCCAACAGCATTTTAGGGACAGGAATATAGTAGTTAGTAAATGAGATAAATCTCTTGCCCTCCTGGAGCTTCCATGCAAGACCAATTTTTCCTCCCCCCCATAGCCTTGGCCAACTCCTCTAGCAAAATGAGGACTCACAGAGCATCTGTCCAGACTTCTGTTGAAATCACTTATCAAAATGTATTGGAATGCATTGACTTATATGTTTGTGTTTCAGGGCAGCATGGAAAACACAAATTCGGATCATCAGCCCACCCACCATTTACTGTGGAACCTTGGGTACTCTTTCATCTCTCTATGACTATTGTTTATCTGCAAAATGAGGCTATGCTATTAATTCCCTCCCAGCCTCATCAGCTCAACATGAGGTAACAAAACTGACAATACAGGTGAAGATCTAGCACAGCAGCAGACACAGGGGAGACACCCATTAGATGTTAGTTTCTTTCCCTTCCCTCAAACTAGTAAAGATAAAAAAGATAAAGCCTTTGGCCATGAATTGAAGTACTAGAGGAAAGAGATAATAAAGATCTCAACTAATGCGATGTAATGAGAATAGAAAAGAGATGGAAAGTCATGTCTGGTAAGGAATCAATAAGGTCTGGTGAACATTTGGGTTAGGTTTAGGAAAAGTAAAGTAACACATATAAATTCTAAGGATTGCTCCTTCAGATTCTAAGATGTATCTTTAGAAACAGAAGATTTTGTTACACTGATCATCTTCAGGGAGTGGAGATTATGGTTTTGTTGTTTGTTTCCTCTACCTATCAAATTTTCAAGAATAATGTAAATATATATTCTTCTAATCAGAAAAAATTTTCAGATTTCCTAAAATTTGACTACCTGTATTTCAAGAGACACTAGAGTTTCCAAATATCCCATAAGGAAATAAAAGCACACATTTCCGAGATGGTTAAGTGTGTTCCTGCCTTGGCTCTGGAACAGGCCGATACAAACTGGCCTACAAGTGAAAAGAGCCAAGTCCATCACCCCATCAGCACAGCACTCCAACTCAGTGGTCATCAAACTATTTGAATACCTGCCATCAAAAAAAAAAAGTCTGATTATGTAACTTCAAAATATATGTATTTATTATATAAGTTTAAATATTGAAATTAAAAAATATACATAGAGATTCTAATAATTTGTTCTCGTGCCCTAATACTCATCTTGTGCATTCTCCCTAGGCATCCACTACTTAAACCAACTAAGAGAACACCTGAGGCACACTTGCACTGAAATTGTCTTTGGAGTGAAATTAACATTTGGTTATGTCTTTTGGGACTATTAACAAACCTTTTAGATGAGGTCTATGAACTGAAAGGAACTTTGCAAAGCATCTAGTCTAACTTAATCATTCTGCAGATGAAGGAAATGAGCGAGAAGTAAAATTAAGTAGTTCTGAGTTTAAATGTATGAGAATGTTGAAAAAGATCCCAGGGTAATAATAATAAGGTCAGTAGCAGAAAAATAAAAGGGCAGGAGAGGGACGGAGAAGGAAGTGTCTACAGTACTATAAGAAAGTCACATGCAGTACCATCAGAGAACTGAAACTCTGAAAAAGAACCCAAAGGCCTCTTAAATGATTAAAAGCACTTTAAAGTGAAAGCAGACAAGTTCTCAAAGGGGAAAGAAAAATGCTGAAAGACACTCCAGAATAACAGATGTATGTTCTCTAAAAAGTTACTAAAGAATGAACTGGTTCCCTAAGCTACATGTTCCTCTAGCAAAGTGGTAATCAGGGGTGATTATTCGATTATTCACCATATTGTTCCTAGAATTGGAACCTTAAATTCTAAAGTATCTTTGGTTTTTTTTTTTAATATCTTTGGTTTTTGTACATATTCCCAAAGTGTACCAAATTTGTTGATATCCTTTGCTCCATACCATACCATTGTGGGAACAAATGTAAATGGTAACATTCGATCTTTTCTCAATATTCTAAAAAGATAAATTTATAGCCTCTTGGTTTATCATCTTTTAAAAGTTCATTATTTTCTGTGTTGGAGAGGTTATTTTTCAGAATGTAAACAAATAAATAAATGAAACAACTTATAACAACAAAACAAACTAAGGAAGGCAATCAACCAAACCATTAATTACCTCTGGATGGGAAGGAACTGGAGAGGGGTTGAAACAGACTTTCATTTTTTACTTTTATAATCAGTTTTACTTTTATAATTGTTTAAAATTTGTTAGGGTAAGTATATATTGTCTTTAAAATTGGAAAAAAAGAGTTACAAACATAGCACAAGCAACTGAGTACCCATACTTCCATCATTATTAGTTTTGAAATTTCAAAAATATTACTGATAAATTCTTTTTTTTTAATTTTTTTTAACTTTTTTTTTTTTAATTTTTATTTATTTACGATAGTCCTACAGAGAGAGAGAGAGAGAGGCAGAGACACAGGCAGAGGGAGAAGCAGGCTCCACGCACCGGAAGCCCGACGTGGGATTCGATCCCGGGTCTCCAGGATCGCGCCCTGGGCCAAAGGCAGGCGCCAAACCGCTGCACCACCCAGGGATCCCTGATAAATTCTGATACTTAATTTGCCAGAAAGATCTAGATAATATGTCATAAAGATTAAGAGTAGAGTCTCTAGAGTCAAATTGCCCAGACAAATTGCATTTTGGTTCCATCACTCACTAAGTCATGTGGCCCTCTCTCAAAATAATAATTCTTACTTCAAAGGGTAGTCGTAAGGTTTCAAGTATTCCTCACCTGAAGAATGCTTAGAACATTATTTTGTGCACAGTAAGTAGATCGAAAAATAGTTGTCATTATCATTATCTTATAATCTTATTACTGTTGTTTGCAGCATTTTTTGAATAATTCCACTTCAATCTTTTTAAATTTCAGTTTGCTGACATACATATATGTACATCATTATTTTCCAATGTAGTTTTCAATAATTTGCCAGTTGCATATAATACCTAGCACTCATCACATCATGGGCCCTCCTTAAAGCTAGTCACCCAGTTACCCCATCCGCCCACTGAGTAACCCTCAGTTTGTTTCCCAGAGTTAAGAGTCTCTCATGGTTTGTCTTTCACTCTGATTTTTCCCCACTCAGTTTCCCCTCCTTCCCTTATGGTCCTCTGCACTATTTCTTACATTCTGCATATGAGTGAGACCATATTCACTTTTATCTTCTGAGACAACCTCAAATACTTATTTAGAAGACAAGGCCCTTAAAGTGTCGTAATTCACTAAGTGAATCTTACCGCTGTTTTTACCCCACCTTCCTCTATAACATGGAAAGAGCCAAATGTAACTTCCTCTTTATATTCTTTTTTGGTGTAATGGCAAAAAAAATCTGAATTTTAAAATGTTAACATGCAATGTTTGCTTCGATGTTAAAATGTGAATGATATGTAAACAGCCTCCTATGAAAGAATATGTTTCACTGACCTGATATAAGGCAAAGCAGGGTCAACATGGTGAAGTGTTATGGCCGTAATGTACGAAAATATGAAAGCAGCAGCTGTCCAAATTACTAGGGCAGAAGGGAGGAAACTGAGACCTTGCTGAAACCACCACATCTCAAACAGGTCTTCTGAGGTGGAAAAAACAAATTAGAGATTATTCACAAGTATTTAATCTCCTACTTTAGCCATCCACTCCCACAATCTTTTATACTCATCACCATGAGCTGTTCCACTTCTGAAATCATCCCCCACACCATCTACTAACACCTGGTTGTTTTCAATTTCTCAGTAAATGGAACCAAGCTTCACCCACTGCCATACCCAGAAATATTTTTTCTCCTCCAGCTTTACACACATAATCTAGTAGTTAGTACTGTTTATTCAACCTCCTAAATTTCCTTCAAATCTACCCCTTCTGTCCATCTCCATTACCACTACTCTACCTAAAACATCATCTTTTCTTCTCCAGATTATTATTATAATCTCCCAAATGGTCCTTTTCTAGGGTGGACCACAACCCATCTAGACTCCACCCTAAAACCAGGGTGATCCTTCTAATTCTGAAATACCAATCTGACCACCTGTTCTCCTACAGAGACTCTTTCAGGGCCTCCCTGTGCCCTTATAAATTGTCTTTCCTCCTTAACTTAGTCTATAAGGTCTTTGAATCGTCTGATCTCTACTCACCTTTTGGTAATTCATCTCTGGCTACTTCTCTGTTCCCAATTCCATGCTCTAGCTCTCATCTTCATCACCATTAACAAAAGCAAACACAGAGTCTATTCTCTGTCAGCACGTGCTAAGCGCCTTAAATACACGCTCATTTACTTCTCACAACAGAGTTACAGAGGTTAAGAGAACTGTCCAAAGTCACAGGGCTGGGACTTAGTAGAGACAGAATTAAAACTCAGGCAGTCCTGTTCCAACACCAATCACTATGCTATACTGCTATATATGTTTAAATGTGTCAAGCTCTCTTGTACACTCGCAGACCTTCATGCATACTGCTGTCTGGGTAACAGACACCATGCTATCACCCTCCAGCCCCACTACCACCTATTAACTCCTATATATTTTCAAATACCGACTCTTCTGGCTTCAGCTGAGTGTCTCTACTTTGTTTCCAAGAGCACCCTTTACTTCCTCAATCAGGGCATTCATCTCACTTAACTGTTGCTTGTTTGCTTGGTTTTATCTTCCTCACGAAGCTAGGTTCTGACAGAGCAGGAACCAGCTGTTTTGTTATATTTCTAGCTCCTAACATAAGAGGGGAAAGAAAAAGAGCGTCTAAGTATACACATATCACACATCACCACCTTCTCTCTTAAATTCCAGACTGAGGATGTTATTAAGTAACCATAAGTGAATTTGGAAACGCTAATGTATCTGAATGCACTTAATTTTTAAAAATACAGAAATACCTTCAAATTTTAAGAAATTACCCCTATGCATGTGGAAATAATATCATGTTTGGAGGACTATCTTCTCATAGTTTGATGGACAGAAACTGAATATTTCCTGTGAACTTTATAAGAAAAATTTTTTTTGTTGTGGTCAGCCATTTTTGACTTACGCTTGTCATTTACTTTGATCATCTGACTTGTTGCTAAATATGTATCTTTATTTATTTATTAAAGATTTTATTTATTTATTCATGAGAGACCAAGAGAGAGAGAGAGAGAGAGAGAGAGAGAGAGCGCTAGAGACACAGGCAGAGGGAGAAGCAGGCTCTGCGCAGGGAGCGGGGATGCGGGACTCGATCCCTGGTCTCCAGGATCACGCCCTGGGCTGAAGGCGGCACTAAACCACTGAGCCACCCAGGCGTCCCTTCTTCATTGGATTAAACATGGCAATTCCTTGCCACATTCCTATAGTGCTTTCCCTGGCATAAGTTCCTGGGACAATAATTCTCAATTTCTATAAATTTTTATTTACTTCTAAAATCTTTAATTCTTCTTTCTTTGAACATTATTTTAATTTGTTTTGTATAATTCTAACATAATATCCTTAGAGGAATCTACTTTCATATTGTTGATTTCACTAACCCTTGCACCTGTTTTATTTTTATTTTTTTTTTAATTTTTATTTATTTATGATAGAGAGAGAGAGAGAGAGAGAGAGAGAGAGAGAGAGACATAGGCAGAGGGAGAAGCAGGCTCCATGCACCGGGAGCCCGATGTGGGATTCGATCCCGGGTCTCCAGGATCGCGCCCTGGGCCAAAGGCAGGCACCAAACCGCTGCGCCACCCAGGGATCCCTTGCACCTGTTTTATAGCTTTTGACTATAAACTTGTATTAGGACAATTTTAATTGGGAGTATTCTAAAAGGCTTGGTTTTAAGGGTAAATCATTCCAGGGAAGGTCTATATTTTTATCAGGCACTCTGGCATATTACCAACCCGGGCCAACTTTAATTTCCTAACTTCCAGGTTTTTTTAGACCATGCAGATATGTACATTTGAACCCCGAATCTGAGTGGTACCAGACTCTGTAGTTTCAAGTTCTCAAGGGGTAGCTTTACTCCCTGACCTGGATCTAGGTGAAAATAAACACATTTCTTTGTGATCCCCCTTTGCCAGGAAGGAGATACTTTTCCTAGCCCTCCTTTCACTGAGTAGATTTTTGAGGATCCCGGTCACATTTGGAGGAAGGTGGTTCTTCAAGGCCATGGGTTGTACAATTTCAAGTAGAAATACTCCTGTTTAACTTTTACGAAAAAATCACTCCCTGAAACACATTTATACAAACTACCACGTGAATGGTGCCTCTTGGAGTTATATACCTGGGAGGTCAAAGGGGTATGAATTCTCTTTCTACCTTGGGTGGTGAGCAAGAGGAAACCTACCACCTGTCCTTAATTGTGCTTTACTTCTGCTACCAGCCAAACAAGAAGACACTCTGCTAGTTTATTACTCTGATTTCTACTCTTTTTTGACCTTTTAGGCCTGGGGATTTCCCTTTCTGTTCTACAGGCCTGCAATGCATTTTAAAGGCTAATATAATTTATCCAGCATTTAGGTATTTTGGCAAAAGGAATTTTCAAAACATTTGTGTCCACCTCACTGCCAGAAGCATAGCCTCTTCCTCCTTTAACCATTGTTGTATGCCCACATCCTTCCTAGTCTTTAAAATCGAGCTCAAATATATCTTCTTCCACACATGACCTTCCCTAATCTCTTTGCATCTGTAAATAAGCATTCCTTCCTCTAAGAACACTTGATTTGCACATCTCTTATGACTTACTGTCTTCTACAGTATGATAAATAAGGAAAAGGTCTTAAGTGGATAAAATCCTTGATGAGAGACTCTACTACCTATACACAATAGAGGGCCTTGCCCATAGTACTCACTAAATATTTTCTGAATGAACAAACAGCCAAAAACAAATCCTCTTAAACTCCAAAAAGGTTCATGATTTTTCTATTTCAGTAAACAATATTGCCATTTTCCCAGGTTATCCAGATTCTAAGACCTTAGAGTAACCATAAGTCCCAAACAGTATCCTCTAGCCACACATGGCTATTTAAACTAAAAGTTCAATTGGCTAAAACAAAACTTAAAAATTCCGTCATTCAGTCATACTAGCCATATGTCAAGTCCTCAAAAGCCACATGTGTCTAGTGGCTACCACTAAAGGATGGTGAACATATAGAACATTCCCATTATCATGGAAAAGTCCTATTGGTCTATGCTGAACAGCTATTACAGGGATTGCATGACAGCACAAGTAAAGAAACACATTACTGATACATAATAAGGGGTAGCTCTTAGTACTGTTAAATGGTCTAAAACAGTACATACTCCAAGGTTTATGCAAGAACCATATGTAAAATACTGTCACAGATGATCAGTAAATGGCTGTTTCTCTTTTAGACTGTAAGAGATGAATTACCTGTTTTACAAGTTCATAAAATATTGGTCTTCAAATCTCCATAAACCTGCACCTTTTTAAATCCTGAAATCTACATACAAAGAAAATAAGAACGTTTCAAACCACATTCTTTTAAACATGGACAATTTCAAGTCAATGCACCAATATTTGTTCATGGGTGGGACACTATGCTATAGAATTGTTAATAAGCTATTTTTTTTAGAGTCAATACTTGTGTGTTTTTTTAAATTAGTTTGGTGAACATACAGGGTTATATCAGTTTCAGGTGTACGATACAGTGATTCAACACTTCCATACAACACCTGGTGCTCATCAGGTTAAGTGTACCAGTGTGCTTTAAAATAATGTACCATCTGAAACTAAGTACTATTTTAAATCTAGGATATCAATTTTCCTACCCTTTCTCACAATAGACACCTTTTGCTGATCTCAAAAAAGATAAAAGGGAAAACACTGAAATTTCCTATGGAAGGAAAGACAAAAATGAGGAAAGAAGGATAGATTAGGCAAAATAAAACATTAACTAGTCCATGTGGTGCAACGGAAAGAACACAGCTATGTGATCAGCTTTACCCAACTGCAAATCCTAGCTTTATCAAGTCCCAGCTGTATGATTTTAGAAAAGTTACTAAGCTCTGAGTTACAGTATTCTGATTTGTAAAGTAGCTATCTCAAAGGGTTTTTTCCTAGAGTAGAACAGAAAAAGCATACAATATAACAATGACAGCTAGATTTACCAATTCTGTACAACTGTAACTAGCCACAGGGATCCAGAACAACACTTACTTCTTTGCATGTATGAATCATCTGGGATTCCTATCTCCTCAGGCTTTGAGGGTTCTTATTGTTTAAACAGTTTAGGAGAGAAGCAAGGCTTGAAATGATTTACCAGTATGCTAATGACAACTGAAAAATTTAAGCGCACTGACTTGATGAGAAAAGACTCTTATGCCCATGCATTTTCATAGTTGAAAGCTGGAAGTAAGGCTGGCTAACTGCCAAGCAAACAAAGTTAAAATTTTAATGGTTAATAATTTAAGAAACCTTTGAAAATATGCAGGAATAACCTTCATACAGTAGTAAGAGTGCTTAACGAAATATTCTTGCATCTCTCACCTACCTTCCCTGCTTTCTTTGAAGATCCATGAAATCAGAACTGCAGTTACAATTCTTAAATTTCACAAATATTTGAATGGCACTGGTAATAGGAATTCCTTAATACTGTCCCCTCTACGTGGTGACTGCTAAAAAACAATAAGAAAGTAAATTCTGGATATTCCACGTGAAGAAAGCCCTAAACTCTTTATAAAAAATCCACAGAACCATAAGGCCCAAAGAAAGCATAAGAGAAAACAGTTATTTTTCTTAAGTCTAACTTGGTCTTCTGACAAATGTGATATTCTTGTAATTGTTAATCCTAAAGAGTCTAGAAGATTAAGTAACTTTTTTTTAGTAAATTGGATCAAATGGGTTAAAATCTGATGATGTCACAAGAACTACAGAACTGCCTTTGCGGACTGATTTATAAAATTAAAATTTGGGGGAACTGGACCAATCATTTCCCCGGTGTGTTTTCTGGTTTTCAAATGTATCCTAACGTAAAGAAAGCACAGAGTGAGGATGCAAAAGAGCAGCATTAGGCTTTCTGCCTTGGACCCACAGACCCCTCAGTCCACGTAGATGAGCTTCAGATAAACACAAGATCACCGCAGGTCTCAGCTTCAAATCTGCCCCCAATCCCTTTGCCAAGGAATCCGAGCCCAGCAGTGAAAACTGCAACGCGTACCTAACCGCAGTTTTTCTGGGACTGGGGCGACGGTTCTTGGTAGCCGTTTAAAACAAAACCAAGGCATTATTTGCCAAAGCCCCGGGACGCGGATTTCCGCCGGGCTCTGCCTGAGGCCCAGGAAAGGATGCGGGGGGCGGAGCCTGGCCCTGCCCGCGCGCCGGGGGGTGAAGAGGACGCGAAAGGAGCCGGGAGGCTGCAGGATGGGCAGGCGACGGGGAGGCGCGGAGAGCCGACCCAACCGCACCTGCCCGCCCTCCAGGTCCCCCAAGCCCGCACCTGCCCGTCCGCCCTCCAGGTGCCCCCAGCCCGCGCCTGCCTGCCCGCCCTCCAGGTGCCTCTAGCCCGCGCCTGCCCGCCCTCCAGGTGCCCCCAGCCCGCGGCCGCCCGCCCTCCAGGTGCCCCAGCCCGTCCGCGCTCTGGCCCCCAGCGGGCGCCTCTCCCGCGCCCCGCACCGTGCGGTCCGGTGAGGCAGGGCCCCCGCCACGCGCCTCGCGCTGCCCGCCGGCCCCCGTGCCCCGCCCGCCCGTCCGTCCGCGGTCCTCCACCCGCACCGCCCCCGGGCGCTGAGGCCGGCCTCGCCCGCTATTCGGCCTACCTTGCTCGCCCGCCGCGCCGGTGCGGGCCGCGTCCCAAGCCCGCGGGCGGGACGGACGCGGGGTGGAGCACAGGGCGCGCTCCCGAGCGGCCGGGCCGGGCCGGGGCACCACCCCCGAGGAGCGCGCTCCCCGGCGCGCTCCCCGGCGCGCTCCCCCACCCCCACCCCGAGGGGCGCGCTCACCCCCCAGGAGCGCGCCCGCGCCGCCGCTCGTTTCCGCCCCGTGTCCCTCCTTTACGGCAACGCGAAAGCGTCGCGAACGGGTCGCCGCCGCTCGCAGAGGCTCGGCCGTCTGGAGTCGGAGGTCTTATTTCTAGAGGTGTGATTCCGGGGTCGGGGTAAGGCTGCGGGGCTCGGCCCTGGGAAGATGGCCGGGTGCGACGGCCGTGCTGGGGGGCGCGACTGTCGAGAGGCTTGGCGAGCGCTGCGTGCTCTGGGGTGGGGCCCTGGAGGCTAGGTGTGTATGGGCTCGGCCCGGCGAACGCAGGGCTTCCCGGCGCCGCCGACCCCGCGCGCGGCCTTGTGGGGCGGGTGGGGTCCGGCCCGCGACCCGGGGGGCACGGGGAGGGGCACCGGGGGGCGGGCGCGGGCTGGGGCTCGGCCGGCGGGACGGGGGCTGCGGGGGCGCGGCCGGGGATGGGGGGGCTGCGGGGGGGCTCGGCCGGCCGGGCGGGGGTGCTGCGGGGTGGCACGGGGGCGCGGCCCGCGGGGAAGCCACCTGGCGCTGCCAGGCCCGCCGCCTCCTGCGCAGGTACCCCGAGCCCCCAGCCGTGATGCACCCGGGCCGGGCGGCCTGCCTTTCGGATGCGGTGCTGGCGATTCGCGGCTGGGCCGCGCTTCAACTTTTCTAGAAATTGCAGCGTACATTTACTTATACACAGCTAGGGTTTATTTCAGCAGTATTCTTTGGAGGAGGGAGGACAGGAGGGTTCCGAGGCTTGCGGGTGTTTCCAGGAACCCCGCATGAGCAGCATCTTTACAGCTCGCTGTATTCAACATGTTTTCTCCGACTCGGTGCTTGCGGTTGTGTCATTTTGCTGTTTGCCTCCTTGGTATCAAACGTACAGTTTTGTGTGACGGCTCTTCGTTCATTGATGAATCCGTATCATGATAGGCAAGTTCATAGTTGTGTTTCAGCAAATATCAGCGTCTTGTCTTGTGTGTGGGCAGAGAATATAGTTTCTACCCTCACACTAGTAGGGTAGGAATGTGTTCAGTGTGTGTGTTTCACCGTCCTAGGTACATTTAGCATAACTGCTTTAGAAAATTGGTGTTCGCATAAAGTTCCAGTGATTGACGTTCTAAAAGCGTTTGTTTTGCTGCATACTTGTTCTTTGCTTTGGAAAACCAGCCAGAACCCCTGTACGACTCGTCTGCACAGTGCTTCCACTTGAGAAACGAATTTGATAAATCTGCCTCTTGGTTTAACCTGTTCTGTCCCGCCAGAGGCATCTTTATTTCTTGTCCGGTTAATAGATTGTTCTGAATGTTTACAACTTTGGTTTCATGAATTTATTCTCCTTCCTTTCCCACACCCAATCTCTTTTCAAAGTTATATTGTAAACAATTAAATGTTTTTATATATAAACTCTAAACTTTTTTATAAGCCATATTACGTTTTATTGCATATTCAATTTGTTTTCTAGGCAGCAAAAGAGTTCTTTAAGCTGGCTAAAGTGCTGCTGGTGCTGTTGAGGGTCATGCTGTGCTGCCTTTTTAGAGGGAATATGAAAATCTATAAAATGACAGGCTTTTTGCTCTTTTTTCTTTTTTTTCTTTTGGAGGAGGTTGTTTCCCTTTTTCTAAAGAATGCAAGATTTCACTTCAGCAAAACAGTAGATCTAAATTGTATTACACAGTACTGTTTTTGCTTCCAAGTCTGCTGAAAAGGCTTTTGTTTTTCCTAACTTGTTCTGTGTATCACTTGTTAAATAATGCTGAATGTAATCCTGTGATCCTATTAGTTTTCCTTTTTTTTTTTTTTTTAGACTTTTTATAATTTGCTCTGCCTTCCAAATAGTGTTGGCTATTGTACTTCACTTTAGTAGTGCCATAGAGGTTAGAAAGAGCTGTGTAGTCACTAATTCCTGTGAAAGAACTGTAAACATACTGCTGAATCAGTGCAGCTCGAAACTTGGAGCCTTTAGACTTGTGGGGGAATGGGAATTCGGGAATTTCACACTACAGGTTGGATATTGTGTAAGCTTACCTTATGCTCTGCTGAGCAGTTGGAGATTCCTTTTTTAGTGGGCTACTTCTCAGATGTTTCCCAAAGCTGAACACAGGAATAATGTAGGCAGCATGCCATTTTCCTCAGCTGCTATAAGCACAGATGTTCTGTGACATAGATTTAGCTTTGTAAATTGTGTGTAATTTTAGTAAAGGTATTCATTAAATCTCTCCGATTATATTTTTGTACCTTTGTTGGGCTTTTCACATAAATATTCATGCCTGCACAAAGAAAATTTTTTGTTAGACCATATGTGCCCCCCCCTCCTCTGGACTCCCACTATAGTTTGTTCACAGCACATCATGACTGAGCTCCTTATAAGACTCCTCTTCACCCCCCTTGAGTTTCTTGGGGTCATGGATGGCATAGTTCAGTCTGTTTCTTCAAGGTCTAGAGCAACAAGGTGCTCATTAAATACTAGATGAACCATTTTTGTTCTTTGTTTCATGAGTAAGTCCTAATTACTTAATGTTAGATATGGTAGGAAAGTTTGGAGAAAGAATCTTAAGGGATCCCTGGGTGGCGCAGCGGTTTAGCGCCTGCCTGCCTTTGGCCCAGGGCGCGATCCTGGAGACCCGGGATCGAATCCCAGGTCGGGCTCCCGGTGCATGGAGCCTGCTTCTCCCTCTGCCTGTGTCTCTGCCTCTCTCTCTCTCTCTCTCTCTGTGTGACTATCATAAATAAATAAAAATTAAAAAAAAAAAGAGAGAAAGAATCTTAAGATGAGCATGGTCTCTGCATTTGTGGAGCTTATAGACCAGTGTGGAGAAAAGACCAAAAACAATACAACAAACAAAAGTTCAAAATGTGATGAAGTGCTGTGAAAGGAGTATTGCACTAGAGCCAGGTTATAACAGAAAAGGGGAATTTGCTGATTACAAGTGGAAAGGTTACAAAAGCTATGGCCCTGTGATCAATATTACACTAAAATGAATTCCATATGATGGGCAGTTTTTGAGTTTAAAATACTTCTATTAATGATTTATGAAAACATCCTGTTAATAAATAGATTTTGTATTACAAAATTACAATTTTTTTATAAGCTCATTGGTGACTTTTCAAAACATCAACAAAATCTCAATTCTTTATCATGGTCTATAAACCTCTGCATTGTCTGGCTTTTCAGACTTTATGTCACTCTTCCATCTGATTTATTGGACTACGGCTGTCCAACCGTAGTGATCTCAAAGGTACTTGAACAAGACCAGCTCCTTCTTGCCTCAGGACCTATTCCCTTTTCTTGGACTCTTCTTCTTCCTGCTTTTGGAACGGCTAGCTCCTTTTCTTCCTCAGAATTTGATTTAAATGCTACCTCTTCATAGATTTCAACCACCTTATCTAAAATGTGCACCCCTAACTATTTTTTGGCTCCACACTTTTCCTTTTAGCACCCATCACAGTGTGTAATGCTATTTGCTTGTCTACCTGTTTTTATTTTCCAATTGGACATGGGAACCAGGACCATGTCTGTCTTGTTTACTGCACTCAGTATTGGCTTGGAACTTGGAATTAATTTTCTCAGAAAATCTTATGACTGGTGGTTACCAGGATAGCCAGCAATAAATTTTAGCTCCTTATATTATTTTAGTTCCTTATAGTGTGGCACAGGGAAAGGACAGTTTTCTCTTCA